TGTGTGTGTGTGTGTGTGTGTGTGTATGTGGGTGAACAATACGAACAGATGTGTGAGAGCAGAGTCAACTCCAGCATGGCCAGGCATTATCCTGGTGTGTGTGTGTGTGTTGTGTCTGCAGCAGCAGGACCAAAACCACGAGCTCTGCTGGCAGCCCGCCGCAAGTGCTGCTCGAAATAAAACAAGAAATAAGTGCTTTTATGAAACAAACACACACGTCTCCCATCATCTTTGGTCACCAGTTTGCTGCCAGCAGCTGAAGCCAATCATCCAGAGTTGTTTTAAAATTTGTTTTGATTTTGCACATTTTAAGAAGCCATGGTATTTAAAAACGATTAAAACTGGAGATGAATATTTGTAGGAATGTCACTCTTTAAAAAAAAAAAAATTGTTCTTAACGCTGAGATTTTCTTCGTAGGCCCCGTCTACACTACATCATGTTTTTCTGCTGCACACATGAAGGAGTTTTTGGTGTAAAAAAAAAAATGAATGAAGTTAGAAAAAAATGGGTTGAAAGTAGAAATTAAAACAAATCTATAAAAAGAAATGCTAAAGTTTTAAAAATGATGAAGTAGCAGCATATTTGCTTCATGCAACCAAACTTGAATTATATGATGAAATAGTCAATAACAAGGAGGATGTGATCAGCTGCAATAAAGACAAATCAACTTTACAAAACACGAAACACACAATCCTTACATATGTGCACCAACCAGGCCAAACCTATAGAGATCAAGTCCTGCTCCACTGTGGATCTCCATGCAGAAACCAGTACAAAAATAGTACCTGTTTATTTCTTGGTGATTATTTTTAAAGCTTTAAATGACCACAACTAGTAGTAAACATATTCAAGTGTCATCAGCGTATATAGGTACATGGCAGTGAGTTCTACCTCACAAAATATTAGATATCATGGGTTTATTGTATTTTTTTAACTAAACGTTATTTATCCAAACTTGTATAAAATGTAAATTTATCAATCATTTTAATGATTTTTCTTTGTTATTAGTTCATCTAAATTGCTAAGCCGAACAACCAGATATATTTCAACATTTGAGGGTTTTACTAAAGAATTGCAGGAAGCAGATTGACCCGACGTTCAAATATAGATTCACAAACACCAAAAAATCTACAGACTAACAAGAAATATGTCAGGACCGTCTGGTTTAAAGAGCTCTCCCCTCGTCAGCGTCAGAGTTCACAGCATTTGTTTCCAGAAGCATCCTCACCGCCACACATCTACGCTCCCGTTGACTCTTGAATATCTTTGCAGTTGCCGTCAAAAAGTTGTGTGAAATAAACAAGAGCACAAATATTATGGTTTCTACATGGACATGTGCAGAATTGTATATGTACTGATCCCATACAGCCCATGGGAGGGTTGCTCCTCTTCCAGGGTTGTACTGGGCTCAGTATTATAATGCAGTGCAGGGCTATCCACCTAAACTGCTCAGGGGGGCACAGTTACTGAAAGCCAAGAGCTCAGGGGCCGGACATCCAGCAGTTATTATCATTAATTAAGCTTGTAAAATCTAGTTTTATTTAAAAATGAACCCACTGGTGGGCCGAACTGAGCTCACCAGTGGGCCTGATTTGGTCCCCGGGCCACCAGTTGAATAGCCCTGATGGAGAATCTGCTGCAGTCAGGATGTGCTGAAGCAAAGATTGGCCTGAATGTGAGTTTTCCACATTTTCATTGGACATTAGTGTGGACAACCTCGCCACCTATGGGTGTTTCGACGTTTGTGTGAACGAGAAGACAAACACTTATAGAAACGGAGAAAAAAAAATAAATCGGTTTGAAAAACATGTAGCGTAGACGGGGCCTTGAAAACCAAAGAAGAAAAACACCAAACGTGTGCATCTTTTTCACACGATACGACCGCTAGAACAGACTTGGCATGTGTGAGCTGTAATCCTGAGCGAGCGTTCAGCCGTGCTGGATATACGGGGAAAAACAACAAAGCAGATACATCAAAACTGTGGGATCATCCAGTCCTGAGGAGTTCACGGAACACGAAACCAAGTGACACCCGAAAATATCTGAGCTGCTCCTTTAAAGAAACCATCTTCGGACGCATGTGTATGAACCAGCTCTTATTTTGAATTCTTATCTTTTTATGTAAGTGCATGTCCGATGAGACAAAATAAAGAAATCAAGCAAAGTTTCCTTAAAGCGGATCATTATTCCTCCCCCCTGCAGATCCCGGAGCTAATGATAGGCTGCCAGGAGGCACAACGCGAGTTATTGCTCAATAAATACCAAAGGTTTATTTCTAAGCCAAATGTGTGTCGACGCATTAAGGAGCTGTGTGGAGCAGTCAAACTGAAGAAACCGTGTTGCAATACTCTCTGGAAATTAGATTTCATATTGCAAGATTTAAATCTTTGGATGCTACAAAAAAAAAAAAAGTTAAACTCTTAAATTACATATAAAAAAAACAACCCCGCAAAAATATTTTAACTTAGTCATTTAGATGCATCAAAAATATTCAGATTACACTTCTTTGACTCAATTTTCAAATACAATACATAATTTATGGCTTTATAAGTTAGACACCAAGAAAACGCTTCAATCTACATCAACGTTTCACCCACAATATACAAGATAAATTATTTGGTTCAAAGCGAAAATGATCGTCCACGCCTCCTCCGGTAACAAACCCTCCTCCTCTGCTACTCAGTGCTTCACTTGCATCTCGATATTGTCGTCGTACAAAAACACACGCTCTGCAAAAAGCCTTAATGAAGTACAAACTTGATAGAAAAAGAGGCAGTTTTTATGAATCTGGGGGAAGCATCCCTCAGCTGGAGAGCAACAACTGAACGTCTCATCTGCCGAAGGGAACCACAACGGTTCGTCTCAATCACTGCAGTGAGAATGACTCCTTTTGTTGTGCCGGGGTCAAAACACATTCCAGGACAAGTCAGCACATTGCTCTTTTATTTCATTGGGTTTTTTTTATTATATCTCTGCCTTATTTTGAAGCAAAAGGTAGAAATAGTTGACCAGAGCCCAAAAATCCCCCTTTCCTCGATATAAAAAAGGTTTCTGTGCTTTCAAACGCCACATCGGTCGACCTCGGCGTTTTTCAATACGGCCTCCAGACGGCTTCATCCATGCGCCCTCCGGGGTTCAGAACAGTCGGAGAATTACTGTGGCTTCCGTCTCCGTCCACCCCTCCCTCCGTCTGGGTGGGGAGGTTCGGGTTCACCAGGGAGGTGCCCGTGGAGGCGCTAGTGCAAGGCGGGATCATCCGGGACGGCGAGCGGTCCCCGCCGGGAACCATGGAGAACTGGTAAGAGTTGGAGGAGGCCCCGTAGTAGAGATAGGGCGTGCTGCTGGTCTGGAAGGGCCCGCTCTGGTTCTGGCTGGAGCCCGGGTATGGCGGGGGGAGGTAGTGGTAGTGGGCGCTGCCCAGCGACATGGCTGAGGTGACGGGCGGGGAGTACGTGAATGTGGCCGGGTAGTGCATGCGGGGGCTGGAGAAGCGGCTGTCCGTGATGGAGGAGAGGCTCGGGAACTGACGCTCGAACTGACCGGGGAACGGGCTGAGGTCGGACGAGCCTGGAAACACACAAACACACTGATGCTTAGGACTTCCTGCAACAAATAAGAAGCAAAACAATCACACATACTTAAACTGTGTGAGGGTTAGAAATGTGGCTCGTAGAACTCAGTTCAGTTTATCTATATAGCACCAAGTCACAACAGAAGTCATCTCAGGACACTGAACAGAAACATTTATATAAAAAATAATTTAACATTAATTATCTGAGGAGCAGACTGCTTTGAGTTTAACTCCATCACAGAACTCTCATCTTGAGCAAACATGAAGGCGACAGTGGAAAGGAAAAACTCCCTCGTGAGGAAGAAACTTTTAGCAGAACCAGCTCAGGACAAGTGGTCATCTGCTTCGACTGGCTGGGTTTGAGAGGAACAGGAAGGAGGAACAGATACACAATGGCAGGTCAAGAATCACATGTTAAGATAGAAATAGCATCAAATGAAAACTATTCAATTTTAACAATTCATTTAAGGAAATGAGGTCAGTTTGTCTTCCATTATTCTAAGCCCATAACAGCACAACAAGCCAACACTAACTATAGGATTTATCAAAAAAGAAAGTCTTAAGCCCAGTCTTAAAAGTGGACAATGTGTCAGCCTCATGGACAGAAACTGGAAGTTGGTTCCACAAGAGAGGAGCCTGAGAACTGGAAGATCTTCCTCCCATTCTGCGTTTGAAAACTCTAGGAACCACAAGTAAGCCTGCAGTCTGAGAGCAAAGTGCTCTGTTAGGAAAATATGGAACAATAAGGTCTCGAATATAAGATGGAGCTAGGTTGTTGAGAGCTTTGTAGGTTATAAGTAAGATTTTGCATTCAATTCTGGATTTGACAGGGAGCCAATGGAGAGAAGCTAAAACTGTAGATCCATTAATGGTCAGTTAGGTCATCTGGACAGTTTCGTTTTTGTGAAAAGACGTTTCGCTCTTTATCCAGAGGGCTTCTTCAGTGTGAGGAGTCCCAAGTAAACAGTCTTCCCCACTAAGCAGTACACTCTTTTAGTGGACCAACCAGTTTGATGGTGATAAGATGGTTTCTGGAGGCTGTCCTGTCCCCCATCGACTCCTCCCAGGCAGGCAGCCACAGCCAACGTGGTTCCAGACATCAAAGTTAGTTCATGTTCAATCATCCAGGTACAAAATCCAATAATGGTCAGTCAGGTCATCTGGACAGTTTATTTTTTTGTGGAAAGACATTTCACCCTCTATCCGGAGGGCTTCAGAAGGAGTTGACGAGGGACAGGACAACCTCCAGAAACCATCTTCTCACCAGCAAAACAGTTGGTCCACTAAAGGAGTGTACTGCTTAGTGGAGAAAACAGTTTACTAGGGACTCCTCAGACTGATGAAGCCCTCTGGATAAAGAGCGAAACATCTTTCCACAAATAAGAAACTGTCCAGATGACCTGACTGACCATTATTGGATTTTGTACCTGGATGATTGAGCATGAACGCTGATGTCTAAAACTGGAGAGATGTGATCTCTCCTACGAACTCCTGTTAGTAGGTTTAAAGGTCGAGAAATCAAACTGTGCTACATTAAATGTCCTTTCAAACCAGATATGTGCATTAACCAGTTTAGAATTGTGGTATGTTCTGAAACAACATCCATCAGTAAATATTGTTGAACTCAGCAGCTTCTGCAGCGTTCTCCCCTTCGATCCAAACCCAGTGAAGCCCCACACACGCCTTAACGCAGTTTCTTTACATATTTATGCTTCTCTGTGTGTGCCGGCGCATGTTTATGTGCATCTATATAATTGTTTATGCATGCAAATGTGTGCGCAAATGCGCTGTGCGTGTGCGAATACTGTATGCACATAAAACATAAAGCAGTTGGGATGAATCAGGAGCTGCACATGTGGAAACACTTTGCGCAGAAACAGTTTCCATGAGATCCATAATGAGGCCGGGCTGAGCTCTGATGTGGCTCCTCTCCTCGCCTCCCATCGGCTCCAGCGTGCACGCGAGCGTTAGTACCGTGTATACGTGTGCGAGAGCGGAGAAGGAGCTGCTCCGTCTCACCCTTCGTTCCTCTTTTCGCTTCATCCCTTAAAAAATACCCAAAAAACCACTAACTGGCTGCGGCGAGCTTCTCGCTGGGCGAAGAGTTGAAGGAGAATAGGAGGTCCTCCTTCTCCTCCTCCTCCTCCTTCCTCCATCCATCTCCTCTCAGTGGTTAAATCCAGCCTTGGCGCTCTTATCATAAATCACCAGGCGTCTTCCGTGTCACTATGTCTGCTCTGAGAGGACAGGGGGTGGTGTGGAGCAGGGGGGGCTGCAGTGTTTATGTGCAGGGAGGGGACTGCGAGCCGGGATTGTCGCTAGCGTCAGATAGCATATGCTGCCAATTAAAGCCTTTCAACTTCCTCTTTCCACCAGATCCGTTTGATTCCTGCTGAAATCGTAGCAACTGTCTCTGTTGTGGAACAGAAGTGTGATTTAGACGTGTTCAACAAACTCTCGCTCTTTTTTAGACTTTAGGATGAGCCAGATCAAACATTATTAGCTGAAAGGAAACCAGAGCTTAATTATGTCTAAATATTTGGAGTGTGTGTGTGTGTGTGTGTGTGTGTGGGGGGGGGGGTGTCTCCCAAACCCCGAGGCATAATTTCCCACTCGGCTTGATGAACTTTTCGCAACCGCTTTGCAGCGACTTAAGCTTTTCAGCACGTGAGCTGGATCGCTTCAAGGTGCGGCGTGAAGAGCGCCGGCCTCGGCTCGTGCTCCGGTACGTTCTGCAGCAGGATACGGTTACGGAGCAGCCTGACGAGGTGTCAACATGATCTCCAGAGATCCCAGAGCCCTGGGCGCATTACTTAGGCGGCTTGAAGCGCAGGTGTCGAAGTGGGCGAAGGCCTGTTTCTGCGCTCTTCCACGCACATGTGTCACTCTGAGAACAAAAGCTTGTGGGACGAGAGCCGAAAGGTGGGGAGTGTGGGTGGGGTGGGGTGGGGCGGGGGGGGGAGACCAAACTAATCAGAGCTGACAGGGCAGCTGGCTGGACCTTAAACCCCTTTTTGATGCAGAGTCACACGGCTGCATCGCTCGGGGCTGACGCACACACACACACAAACACACAGAGAAAGGTGAAGCAGAAAAAGCAGGAACAGAAAAAAGTTTCATGGCACTGAGTCAAGCAGGTGTTTGGGGGAGGAGCTTGTTTGGCGGCACGTTGGGATTTTAAGGTCGTTTTCACACCTGATAGTCCGGTAGACTCGGTTCTATTGGGGACCAATATTCAGAACATTTGTTTATATTTTCAGCTGGTGCGGTTCACATTCCCACTGCACTGAGTCAGTCGAGCCAACCTGTTCCCCCCTCACCTGTGGTGGCGCTGCACCGAGAACTACTGAAGGAAACAACATGAAAACCTCCGAAGAAGACACTGAGCGCAACTTACTTCTGGAAAAAACTAAAATGGAGTTGCGTCAAAACTGAGCGGTTTTAGGATTTCTGCTTTGTCACTTTTCAACAGTGGGCTCAGCACGAGCGGAAGATGAGACAGAAGACCACGGAGAATGTTGCTCTTCACACAAGGCGGCTGACGGCTCTGTATGAGGTAAGAGAAATGCGCGTTCGTTTGCCCTGCGCTGGAGCAGTCTCCAGTCCGCTTGCATTCACGCTGCATTCAAACCGCGCTAGAGTTCACTTCAACCGGACCGAGACCTTGATATTTAGGTGGACCAGAGTTCGCTTTTTTGGTCCGCGTAAGAGTTTGATTGTGCGTTCACACCTCCCCAAACGAACCGGACTTTCTAGGCAAACGAGAGTTCGATTAAAGCGGACTAAACAGGGCTGGTGTGAATGCACCCTCAAGCAGCTTTCGCATCGGGAGGAAGGAAGAGAAACTGGAACATAGATGCAGCAAAGAGCTACCCAGAATGCTTTGAGAGAGTGGCGTATTGCTGTAAATAGGCTTTATTTGTCAGCCGCGACCCTGTTATTATCCCTGGGCCTGTTATTACACAAACTCTTCTCAGATCAAAGGAGCAAGAAAAAAGGAAACAATTGTCTGCTTTTCTTTTCTACTTCTCAAAGCGTCGTCCTGACCGCTCGTTGAAGAGCTGCTCGGACTGGGACAGCACGCCTCAGTCCTCGCAGCCATTTGAGAACCAGCTACTAATAGCAGCTCGTCGGTAAATTTAGTCTGAGTGTGAGATTCTCGGTGTGTTTGGAGCCAGCCGTGAGTTGTTTGTTGCTGGCTATGAGGTGGAAGGAGTACCTGGCAATCGTCGGGGCACGTCGCTGATGGCAGGCAGGCCCGTGCCTCGGCTGGAGGACAGGGGGGTGGTGGAGTGCACCGAGGGGGACGCCATAGGACTCAGGTAGGACGGGTACGTCTGTTCGTACGACCAGGGAGGAGAGGACTGGGACTGGCGAGGGTCTGATGGGGAGAGATGAGGTGAAGGAAAGGAAGGAAGGAAAGGACAGGAGAAGAAAAAGGCGGGTTCAGATAGTCCAATCACTTGAGCTTCACAGTTACATTGACAACAGCTGGAGACATTCTTTGTGTTGCAGTTGCTCCGGTGATGCGTTCAGGGGTAAAAAGGCATCAGTTGTGCGCGTTACGCAACCTCCTCTATAACGAGCCGTCTAATGTTTACCTTCGAGGAGAAGATCTTCCTGTTTGTCTTATAAAACCTGGACACAGAGAGCCCTGCTGGCACTCGCCCAGACTGGAAACATACCAGCAAAACAGCCCGCCACGCTACACTTATTGTGTCTGCGGCATAAACACAACACAAAGGCTGACGACGGAGACTGCTGGAGGTGCTTCTGACGTCTCAAAGGTACTGCAGGCTCAAATAAGAGCTGAAACAGTTGGATGGTGTAAATGTGTGAACTAGAGTGGAACAGAAATAAGATTAAAACGGCTAAAAGTAACAAACAAGGATCAGAGGAAGTGAAAAGTGTCTACCATGCGAGCAAATGAAAATTGTTTTTAACTGTGAATATTTCTAAATCAAACCATCCGTGCACAGACTACTGTCGGTGCGATACTCGCTACGCTGTTTAGCCACACGTCCTCCCCCGGCTTCAAAATAACTAAGAGTTAAAGGAGCCCATCGTGTGACGAGCCTTTAGCTCGGAGCGATCAGGTGGCAGCCGTGTCCGACCGTGACAGACGAGACGGTGTTACCGTCTGAAGCTGGAGACTGATTGAGCGACGGAGACGGACAACCTCGGGACGGAAAGTAACGAAGCTGCTCGGCCCTGTGGTTCAGCTGGGCAGGCGGGGGCTGAGTTTTCACAAACCTGCGGCTCGGTGAGTCACTGAGCGACGCTCAGGAAATACTCAGAGCTCGTCAGAGGGATGCAGGTTCTCAAGTGACTTCGTGTTTTCATTGTTTGGATGTAAAAAAAAAAAAAGGGGGTTCAAAACCTTTTAAACACTTTCCTGAACTGAACACTATTGATTGTTTTCAGTATTATTAAATTATTTGAAATAAAGTGTGTCAATTTAAAAATAAAAAAAGCATTGTTCAAACCAGTGTACTGTGAACTGTTGTTGGATTAAAAAAACAAAACAAAAAAAAATTAAAATTAGGATTTTTATTTTTAAAGTCCAGTTCAGAGGTGTGCATTTGACAACTTAATATTTTTGCAACAACTATTAATTTAAAAGAACATAGATTATGTTCCGTAGTTTAAGATGTACAGACACTACATTGGTCGTGTTATGATCTTATTTACTGAAGTCGCTGGTATTAGAAGTTATTTTTATTTGAAATGATCTTTGACGTCTACAGTCGCCTTCTGTTGGTCAATAAGTGGAATGAAACACGGGGTATTAGTCATTAAACTAAAATAATAAAACGAAGAGGAAAATTGCTTTTTGTTGTTATCCAGTATTAAAATTAAAGACAAAATGTGGAGAATAAATGGTATCAGAACTTTGTGTATAAAGACAAACCAGAGGAATCGAACCTGCTACCCTGAGGAACGCGTCTTTATTGATTCCGTTTTATAATATTACTGCAGCTGAGGATTATGGGTAAACTACAAAATAACTTGAGGCATTTTTTGAACTGGGTGTGGTTCATTACTGTTGCAGCAGCATCAATAGAAGAGCAAAACTCACACAACTTCCTTCAGTCCTTCACAATAAGAGTCTCAGCTATCTGAGCTGTACCTAAAAATGCTCTCAATTCATCTAGAGTTATAAAAAGGTAACTTAGCTTATTGTTGGACATTTTTAGCATTATTATTCCCCAGTAGAGCCCTGCTTGCTCCTCGCTGAGAAGCTATTTACAGGTTGGGGACAGCTTCAGATGTAAGTTGCAGTCTATGTGCAAAAAAAAAAAACCAGTTGTCCCTTGTAAAAATAAAACGTTCTCAAGTATAAAGTCAGTACAGTAGTCCCTCGTTTATCGCAGGGGAGTCGTACCCTGAAGCCCCACGATAAGTGAAAAGCCGCAAAGTAACAATAGTAGTACAAGTATTACGTAGTAGCTTATTTTATTATTT